CAGTGACTGGCCTTGTGAAGGGATCACTGACTGGACTTGTGAAGGGGACTTCTGACAGGACTTGTGATGGACTCAAATACACCACTGCTGTACGAGGAATGGGAGATGTTACTCGAACCCTGGAGGGAGAAAGCTTGTGTTGCACCTTTCTCTCAGTGAAAGGTGTGGGGTCTTTCTGGAATACATGGTAGCAGTCTGGGTTGAGGATGTCTATCATTTTGGGGGTCATACTTAGTCTTGTCCATGACAATCGATCAGAGAATGTGGATGCATGTGTCTTGGTGCAGCAATATGATGGCTAACCGGTCTTGTCTTGAGAGGTTGGGCTTGCCGGTCTTGTGTTTCCAGAGGGCTTGATTGATTGATTGATTGATTTGCAGACGAATCTCGTTAGCTATAGACTTGTCGAGATGGCAGTGGGTGGGCTTAGTATATTGGATGATCTCTTCCAAAGGTGAAAATTGGGGGCCTAGGCCAAAGTTTATGCCCAACAATAGATTTTTTGTTTCCTGTACGGAGGGGATTCATTGGCCCAGATTGACTACAGTTTGCACAGTGGAAAAAATTGAGAAAGGAAAGTTGGGCAGGAAAGTAATGGAATGTGAGTGAAACAGGGTGTCTTGGATTGAAAGCATTGTCAGCTATGGCTTCCCGTGGAGCTGAACATTAGATCTGTCACTGAATACTTTTCCACTTCTCAAATGTGAAATGCTCATTGTTTAATACAAGGCCTGAATAAATCCTTAATATTCTGAGCCTAAAAACGCAACCAGAAGATTTCGAGTTTCGAAAAGAGAGTGAATTAGTCTTTCTGTAGAAAGAGTCATGACTGTGCCTTCCCTGCCCTTAGGTGTGGTACATCATAAAACTTCAACTGTACCAACCTCATTCAAAAGTATTTTTGATGAGGTGTATTTTGTCACCGTTTTCACAAAGAGACAAAATGGCCCAAAATCACGGGTTTTTTTAGAACTTATAGGGTTTTGCAAAACTTAACTAGGCTATGTGATGCCTATTACTCAGTGTGATCATGTTTGACCAAATCTACTGAAATCAGCCAAAATCACAATGATCTCTGTGGGGCAAAATTCAACTTAACTGCAGTTTTCATTTTCAGGAAGAGACATATTTGTCTTCCATGGATAGAGTGTTAGCTATAAAGGACAAAACCCTGAGTAAACCTTGTTTGCCATTTTCACGAGGAGACAAATTTGACTCTGGAAATGTTACAAATGTAACAATTTTGCACCTGACGGTGGACTGTGTGCCCTTTTCATGAAGGGACAAAAGTCACACAAATTTGATCATTTTCAAGAACAGACAAGCATGTTTGTTTACAAAATAAACAATTTTAATTTACTTTTACAAATATTATTTCACAGTTTTGCATCATTTAGGATCCCTCTTTCATGAAGTAGCATTGGTAAAGTCAAAGGAATGCAAAATAAGCGTTTGAAAAGATCCAACTTCAAGTTCAAATGCAATTTTCTCAAAACCTAGTCTTTACCCTCCAGTGAGACTTTGTCGACTTGGTTGCATCCCTGACTATTCAGAACAAGTCAATGACATGTGATCAATCACATATCAGGGATTTATTCGCTTGTACAAAAACTGACTTATCCATAGTGGCTAACCTGCAGTTTTTCTATGGTGGTCTTCAACTGCAGATAATGGGCAGCCTGTTCATAAATTTGGTCTCTCTCGTCCAGGACTTTCCTGGGAAAAAAACAGAACAAGATGAGATCATGTGGAGTGGACATTTGCATAAGGTCAAGTTGAACAGGCTAATTCAACCTCCCAAAAATTACAGAAAGGAACCACATCCAACCTCAAAATGATCTGAGCTCAGAAATCTGACCCAACCTGATAAAAAGGAAGGTCAAACAGACAACCCTTCCCCCCCAATCATCCAATAATTTGTCTACTTTTTGCGCCAGAACTTTTCCACTTTGCATGAATTATTTGCGGAATAAACCCTATTGTGGCAACACACAAACTGTTGCAATGTATCTCTTTGCCAGTCCTGACTGGAGTGTAGAAATTAACATCATGAGAATGAAATTCATCCATCTTGGTCATACTGGGCACTGTGACTCTGGCGTAATAACAACCAGAGTCAATACATGAACTGTGTTTTTTTTTAATTTCTAATATGGCTCACCCAACCCACCTGACTTTGCATCAGGGAAATGTTAATTTTTAATAACAAAATCAATGGTCAGTCGGATGACTGTAAATTGTAAATGCAAAATCCAATCCTGAACTGAAATGGAAAACTGACCGGATATTGGTTTCGGTTCAGATTGGTTTCATATTGGTGTTTGTACAGTTCTTATCAATATTGATTTTCATGTCCACACTAATCCATGCTTGTCCGTGCATTACATGTAGGATGAATACAGTGGTGTTACTTACTAGGGTAGAAGTGCTGAGGGGACACCCAGATGTTCACCAATGTTTTCAAGGGGGAACTCAAAGCAAATTAACTATAGGTTGTGTCCTTCATTTCAAAATTTTAAACAGTAGTTATGCCATATATTCCATGATCTGAAGCACACTACAGATAGTAAAATGACAAGCAAGGATATCTCCAAGCTTTCTTGCCATCTTCCCTTTATGGGGAATTAATTAGTAAATGCAACTTTGAACTGTAAAAAAAAAGGTTTTAGACAGTGTTACTGATGGTTCACAACTTGTGTCTAATACATACACACGTGCATGTACCGTACATACAAGACAAAAGAATTCAACAAAGGTAATGCCACTTGCATCTCAGACTGTGCAAGAAAATGTAGGTGGCATTTAGTGGCTTATTCCAGCAGAGCAAGTGAAGGGCAAATCATACGGTATGATATATGTGAGAGTACACTGGTTTGCATCTGAATGGTGCTTTATTCACCAGGCTAATTTACAAGAAAATACATGTCATGATGTGCATAACTCCATCGCACAGAGTCCCCATATTCAGCTTTACCTGAATCAAGGGTCACATATGCAACACTGGAGAAGAGAAATTCATACAAGTGCACAAAATGGCATTGGCATTAAGCCAATATGGTGGACAATATTTATGAAGGTAATCCACTCACTGTAGATCTCGCCTCAGTACTTCGTTGACAAACTTCTCGTATTCTGTGACCTTGCTGGATACGCCCTCCATTACATCACTAGGACCAACATCACTTCGTACATATGTTGGTAGACTAAGTCATTGACATGTAGTGGAATTTCAATCTGAAGTTCATGTGAGCATATGATGGTCTGTCTTGTATGTCTGTCCTGCAAAGTCCAGAAATGAATATTAATAAGGTACAACCATACAAAAGTTCTTTACAAGACCACTTCAGCAAAACTAAGCTGGTGGCTACCCAGATCAATGAATTCAAGTAGTCTTCTGCAAACCTCGGCCTAGGGCATTCTTTTGAAGTGCCAAGCATCCTCTCTGGACCAAAAGAGGGCTTGTTTTTTGGTACACACCACATAGGTGCGATGAGGCACGCAATTACATACGCGAAGCACGCTGAGTATGCATAACTAATTTATTCCAGCATGTAGGGTCTTTGTGTACACGCAGAACCCATGCAAGAACCTGCTTGTAACCACCTGTCTTTCTTTCGCCGATAGAAGGTGCACTTCAGCTCGGGGCGTATAGCATTGGCATTAAGAGTGTTGGGCATAAGTCATCACTCAATTGCTACACCATTGGCCCATCTTGTAATGTGAACTACCGATCTTTCTGCTATCAGCCAATCCCCTTATCTAATTCAGGATTTTAAATTTTGAAAATGGAAGGGCCAAGATTCCTGCTAGATCAAGTGAGAGCACAGTATGCATGATAGACCAGTTGCGCCCACTGACCGATCACATTTGACCAAGGGAAGTAGGATGAGGGCTGCCTCATTCGACACCAAAATTCGACACAGGGCAAATTATGCAGCTGAAAAAATTATCAGAAAAATTGGGAAAATTATCAGAAAATTTGGAAAAGCGCTCACATCACATTATGCAGCTGGTCGACTTGAACACCGTTGTTGTACTTGGAGCAGAGGAGACCGACAGAGGGCGCTATTCGGCTTGTTTAGTATAGATCAGATATCGCTGCCAAAAATCTCTAAAAGGAACATGGCCACCGATGGTGAGTAGGCCCAAAGATCTTACTTTAATACCCCTACCAGCGTTGGTCAGGAACACCAAAGTCTTTGAAATAACTATCCAGTTGTGTTAAGAATCATATGAATGCTTGGGTTAATCTGTGATTTCCAGAATTACTTCTGTAAAACCGGTGAAAAACTGGGCTGATAGACCATGTAATGATGTAGACCGTGGGGGTCCGGACAACTCGACCGTTTGCCAACTTGAATTTGGACCACTCGACCGTTGAGACAACTCGACCGTCCGTGCGGAAAAGGGAGAGACAAGTCGACCGTTGAGACAAGTCGTCCGTTGGGACTCTGTTTCCGTTTGGAAACTGATCCAGAACGAGAAAAAGTGTCACCACTTTTGTCAATCCTGTACGTCCGAATTAAAAGTTTAAAATTTGAAACTGATTTAGTGGTAAGCGTGGTATCTTTATCACACAAGGTTGACGGTGACCACATTCCATTGGAATTTGAGGATTTTTGTAGAGCTGCAATCTGACTGAATAATTTCGCTATTTTGAACTGGGAAAACGACTGTATTATGTGAAGAAATCTCACTGGTCGAGTTGTCTCTCAGTCAAAGTCGAATTGTCCTAATGGACGACTTGGCAAACGGTCGAGTTGTCCGAAGTGGAGTTGGCAAACGGTTGAGTCGTCCGACATCCAAACCGTGAACACAGGCCTAGGCTACAGTACAGTGCAATGCCTAGAGGAACATCTAACACAGAAAAACTGGAACCTTCTTCCCCTGTCTTGCGTGAAGTATTCCTGACGGAAGTCTTAAATATTGAAGGCTTTGCCAAGCATTTACGTAATGCTGAACACAACTGGGTTGTTATTTTGGAAGATTTTGCTCTTCCAGTCTGAGTTTGATTGGGCACCGGGTCATGCATGTAGGGGTGTTAAGTGTAATCTTGAATCACAGCACAAATGTATTGTTCTCCCTTCTGAGTTGATTATCCAATGAATTGATATTATTCAAAGGCAAATCAACCCAGGATGGAGTATACTAAATGTTTGCAAGCTTCTGAGGAGGCTACATGTCATGATTTTAGGAAACCATAAATAAACTGAATGTTCTCAAATTTTTTCTTAGGCTTGAAAAGGCGTACATTCTACCCTAGTCCAAGTAGGGTTAACTTGGACTCTACTATCGCCAGACCATGTCCAAATGTTCAAACAGGCAATTTATACAGTCCAAGCTACTGGGGCTAACTCTGTCCCAGGTGATATATTGATAGATAACGGTACTTCTAATTATCACAGAGAATCTTCATATCTCTGTGAAATATTATCAAGTCTGGGTTCAAAAGTTGCAGTGTCTCGCTTACATGCACTGTGAGCTAACTGCTTTGGCTAATCACCCTGTGTCTTTAGCCTGATGCTGGATAGGCCTACATGTATTTCAATCTAATGACAAACATGTAATTTCTAAGAAAAAGCAAATCAGTCACAGATAGGCCCGCATTCTGGAAGAATTACAAAGAAATAGTTACAAACCTTCCTTTGATAATTTATGGAGGAGCTTGCCATTGTCATGGTTGTGTATTGTAGTTGTCATCCGTTTGATCTTGCAAACCTACCTCGTGAGCAGCTCAGGATCTATTAAAATGCGATTCCAAGCAGATATTAATGTATCCAATCACTGACTTCAATCTGAATCTGCACAAAACAAGTCTGTCCCAAGTTGTCCCAGGTCAGCATGTTGGTATGATGTTTACTCCAGGATGCTTTGCCAACAGAGCTCCATCTGTGGTATGTACATCATGAAACTCTCTGGAGGTGGAAATTCACAAAGAGAAAAGTTATAAGATAAAATCTTGGAGACAAATATACACAGCCACAAATGAGATACTGTACACAAGAAATTAGAGTGATGTTTTCTCTTGGTTGCGTTACCAACTAAATGATGCAGATACAGAACTTGTGTGGGCTTGTTTGGGTTCTAGGCAGTGCTGTGCAACATAGCATTGTGGTGTTCCAAGGAAACAAGTAATTTGCTGAAACTAGGTGATGAGAGGCCTCACAAGTTTCATTTTATCTCAAGATTTGTTATTTCTAGTGCTTGATCACAACATGGCACCCACCCAGAAAACAAGCCCGTGGATTTGAAAATAAGGAAACAATAAAACTTAACTTTAAGTTGAACTTTGTCGTTGGGGGGAAATTGTACAGTGTATATCATATAGATAAACCAATCCAATTTTTGTCTCTATTTTGAAATTCGGTCTTGAAAAATAGCCATGAAGCATTTTGCATTAATTAAAGTGGATGGATTACTAATCCAACAGATTAAGGGCCTGTATCATTCACACAAATCTGGTTCTCCATCGTTAATCTGTCGTTGGTTCACTGACACCAGAACCCACCAAATGGATGAGTGAACCAGCATTGGGGCCACTGGTTGAGATCAGATCCATGTGAAACGAACAGCCCACTCCCACCCCCCCAAAAATGAACAAAATCCTTTAAAATGGTTGAAAAAGACTTGATGAAAAATGCATTCTCAATAACTAAAACCAACTAAATCCAAAATATTACCCTCAGGGCCAACACATTCCCTTTACTGCTTATACCACAGTTACTCAGCCATACTGTGCCACTTTCCACCCCCAGTGGTCACAGTGATGCTCCACATGTCAAATTACTGATAATCCTACTGCCCCCTCTCATGGTAAACCAAACAACATGGTATCAATACTATTGAATCTTTAAATTCAATTTAATGGGACTTACAAATTTCACTCAATTCGCAACTTGATTTTGACATCTGGTGATAGCGAGTTGAGTTGCAACACTGAAAGAGGTGTGTACCTGTGATCAGTCATGCTCAGCTTGGGTTTTAGTATGTACATGTAAATGGCATCTCAAGCTGAGCTGATAATGGGATTGGGTTAAAATAATGGACACTGAGGAGGTACCTTAAAAATCGACCTAACTCTGGAGGATTTTGACCTTGGTGAGGGTCACAGTTCCTGCAGTGGTTATATTCATGCCCAGAACGTTTTACAGTTCTGTATGCATCAGTCTCCTGGTTGTAATGAAATCAATTTTTCTTTTTGTCTTAGACGAAGTCATTCGCAGAAGGCTCCTTATTGAAGGAGAAAGCGGTGGAGATGATCGACGCATCAACACACTCCTCAGGATGTTCATCAAGTGGTGCAACAGTGACACCTCAGAAGAAGAAAGGTACCCCTTGATAGGGGGGCTGTGCCATGGGCAGATCCATAACCAAACTGTGGGCAAGGAGCCAAATGTGGAAATTTTGTATTTAACCTTTTATTGCCTTTCTGAGGGACAATGTTTTATTTTGATGGTTTTCCAAACCCTCATTCCAAAAAGAAACCGTAGCAACATGTCTCGAAGGAGGGGGAATTGTTTCCGCCGTGCAGGTAACCAGTTGCAAATTCCTTGGACTTAAGCTTCCAATGGACTTAAAGCCCCATGTTTGGTAGTATCCGCTCTGAGCAGAACAAAAGAGGGTGTGTTTTGTTGGTACTCACCGCATAGGCGCGCCATGAGGTGCGCAAGTTCATGCGCATTTGACGCAGAGCACGCTGAGTACGTGTAACTAATTTATTCCAGCTTGTATGGTCTTTGCGTAAGCACAGAACACGTGCAAGAACCCGCTTGTAACCACCTGTCTTTCTTTCGCTGATTCGGAGTGCACCTTAGTTTGGGACGGATTGCCTGGTCCTTACCTTCTTCAATCTTTTAGAGTCCCCCAACTCTACCGATTCGTTGTTATTGATTTTGAAAAGTTATTACACCTTGCAAAATGCCGAGGGCATCAGGGTCAGTAATTCTTTCCTTTATATGTGCGTGTCAGTGTGGCAACATATCAGAAGATGCTATCCATCTTAGCTCAAGTGGAATTTGCCATGGAGAAGACACAGCTGATCCATGATATGAACACCAAGGAACTGACCAACTATGAAGAACTCTACAGTGAGATAGGTAAGGCCAACAGTGACATTTTAGACACGCCATCTGAAAAAAACCCAGAAAATCATCATTTCGTTGTAAAGTCCCACAAAGTCCAAAAGTATCCAGATTTTTGAATTGTTGGATGTGGGGAAAAAAAGCTTTTGCATAGAGCAAACGACACCTTTGGTGTCTGTTTCTCAAAAGATGTTGAAGAGTTTTGTTCCGAGACGTAGTTGTTTCGAGGATCTGATGTCAATTTCAAGTGATGCCAAGGACAAGCTCGAACTTGTAGGAGCAGGCAGTGTGTGGATGGAAGTATTCTGTATTACTGAGTTAATGTAGGATTCAGTTACGTGTTCACCATGTTCTTGCTATCAATTATTAATTCTTGTGCACCAACATTTTACTTTTTTTTACACCATGTGGATGTGTAGCATTGAATTTCAGTGAAAAATTAACAGAATTTTGTGAGTTTGCCAATTTATATGGCATATTAGAACAGAATCGTATCCACCAAGAGACTTATAAATAGCACAGTTAATGGAATGCAGCAAGTAAGGCTGCTTCAGGGAATGCGGGTTAGATCTTTTTTTCAACGAAAAGATCAATTGAATTTTCTGTTGTGGTTGGTATTTTCATTGCTATTACTGGAATGGGAGTCTTTTTGATATATGTTTGGTGGCAGCAGACATGCTGGTCCTTTTCTATCTTTTGTGTCACATTTGAGCTAATGCACGCTTGCTCAAAATGAAGCAATCAATTTCAGACAGGTCACATGGACCTGGTATATTTGCCACCGCCAAAATCTTGAAATTCTCTCAGTGTGTAAAAGGAAAACCAAAGGATCCTATGGGCTTTCAAAATTCAAAAGGAAAACTTGAAGACCCTGTAGACCTTTAGATTGTCTGAGATCATTGCCTTTTCATTTGACCAACAGAGCAGAGTATCAAGGAAGCACATTCCAAGATCTCTGCTTGCAAACTGCAAGTCCAGGATGCCAAGAGGGTGCGAAAGAACAGGCAGGAGTATGACGCTCTGGCCAAGGTCATCAAACTCCAGCCAGATCGGAGGGAGTCCATGAAGTGAGTACATAGCCTGGTCAGTTCTCAAGGCCCCTCCCATCAACGCTGTAATTGCTGAGATTTTGAACAGTAGATGGCGGCTTTATGATGCATGCAACCCACTGCATGATTCATTGTGTGCACATTCATTCATTTATGCCAGGGTTGTAAATTATAATGTCTCAAGAGTTTTCTGGGTCTCAAGATTTAAGTAATAATAACGATGACTGTACATAGCGCCAAATTACCAGGGGATACAAGGTTCTTATTGTTATTATCCCTACTCCCGGGGCCACAAACATTCCTAAAACCATCTCAACTCCCCGGACAATATACAGCTCAATGCTGCAACAACACCTAGTCAAATACAATAACCATCTCTACCTTCAAAGGTAACCATTTATACTCTTGTGCAGAGAGAGGAAAATGGAGGAGCATTAACCTGTCCAAGGTGGCAACGTGTAACCAGAACCTGGATTTGAACTCCTGAGCCTATGGTCTGATTTACAAATCCTAACTGCTAGGCCACATGCCTTTGTTTTACATAGACACTGTAGATGTTCAGGGTTTTAATTGTTCAGGTTTGCTATTTTTTAAGCTTTGTGCCTGCAAAAAGCAAGGTGCAGGATTCTCATAATCTGACCCACTTGAGAGAAATTCATGCCTTTTTAGCCAGTAGGAGCCCAAACTAATTCACAGAAGTCTAGTGTTGTTATGCGTCAAGCCCTCTGGATTTTCTCTTCATCTGCCAAGTCTGCAGTCTCTTTGTATAAGCGACAACTGTGAGAATGTTACAAATTCTGTAAGCCAGATGTTTAATTGGAAATCAACCAACTTGGGAACTCTTTAGCTGAATTTTGAGGACTCTTTTTTATGCCCTGCCCAAACCACGGGGCATACTGTTTCTGGCATGTCCTTCAGTAGGTGGGTGTTTGTCTTGAATATTCTTGTCAGTGCAATAACTTTAGAATTACTTTGCATTTGACCTCCAATTTAGTTTGTGGATTGTTCTTTAGCAATCCTAGGAAGCCTGTTGCAGGTGGGTCCAAAAGGTCTAGGTCACAGTGACTAAAAACGATGGACATCTTTTGCCAGTCCGATAACTTGAGAAATACCTTGTGTATGCACTTCAAATGTGGTTCATGCATTGTTTTTTATAATCCCACAAGCTTGTTGCTTGTTAACCTGAGAGGTCAAGGGTGAAGGTCACAATGGCTAAAACAGCTGAGACGTTGTGTTTGCGATCCTATGAAAGTTGTGGGTTTAGGCTTGAGCTTGGCAGAGCATTTGTGTTTGTTAATGTTTTATTCTTGTTCCATTTTTACCACCCTTTTGGCCTTTCAGAAATCTTGATATTATAAGGATGGGATATTTGTGGAATGTTTTTTCTTAAAACTCTGAATGGGAACAGACCATTGCTCCTGTCTTTCAGTAGAATGACAGCCACGATAGAAATGGAATTAGTTCTTTGCTTTTTTTCCATTTAATGATTTCAGTAGAATGACAGCCACGATAGAAATGGAATCAGTTCTTTGCTTTTTTTCCATTTAATGATTTCAGTAGAATGACAGCCACGATAGAAATGGAATCAGTTCTTTGCTTTTTTTCCATTTAATGATTTCAGTAGAATGACAGCCTCAATAGAAATGGAATCAGTTCTTTGCTTTTTTCCATTTAATGATTTTAGAAAACTGGAAGAACTTGACAAAGAGCTGTCTAATCTCAAATGCAGCAAGCAGACTCTGGAACAAAAGGTTTGTGTATGTTATTTTTGTGATCTTGTCAGTCTTAATTAGAGTATCTTGTGAATATTCATGGTATAGGTTATTAGCCTGTACTTTGGGTAATTCCATTTGTCAATATTCAGTAAGCTTCGCATTGGGGATGTTAATTTTTATACCACGTTTTACCTTTATAGGGACACACATACATGTATTTTTACACTCTATTCTCAGTCTGGTCTGAGCATTGGGAAAAAATCACAAGCTTGCTTGAGTTGGATTCGAATCCACTACTTTCTGCTTAATGCAGACGTCAGTGTGAATGTATATTCGTGTAAGGGCAAAACCTACATGTAGTGTATAATCAGTGATGTTCATATATTTAGAATTTCTGTTATTGGCAGGATGAGCATAGGGATAGCAAAAGTTATTTGAAGGAAGACACTGTTCAGTGTGCAGGTCTTTTTGCTAAAATTGTGAAACCCAGAATCTGCTCGTTGAAAACATTACTGAGAAAGGGTTACAAGTCAGAGGCAGTCGTGTGAAATATGAACAGGCATAATTTCAGATTGCTTTCTGCAATTGAGTTGAAACTTGGCTTGTATATTAAAAGGGATTTGGGGGTTCTCTTCAGGACTTTCAAAAGTGGGGGATTTCTGACCTTGTTCACTGACAATTTGTGAAGTCAAGGTGTTGGCTTTGGGGCCCGCTGAAGGGCCCCCAAAATTTTAGATTTTAGATGCTCTCTGGTTCAGTACATTTCCTGAGCTTTTCACTACTTATTTCCCTGGAAGAAATTAGAGATTAACAGTACCTATTGTGCAATATTTCAATAATTAGTTATCAATTTTTGTTGTTTACAAATATGTTTTCATTCTAAACTACTTGGTAAACAAATTTGAATTGACGTATCTCTTTCCTGGCAGGTGTTGCAAAGCTCAATTTTTAAAAAATTTCTGTGACAAAGTGTGATTGCCTCCTTTGGAAAAGTGATCTGTCCATTAAGTGTCTATTAAGTCACTGTCATTTGTTGAGGTAATTTATTTAAAGGTAATTTAAAGCAAAATAGAGCAGACTACTCAGTGATGTTCCTCAGTGCGTAATATTGTGGGGGTTTACGTCTTATGCATGTAAATTGAGAGAATAAACCTGTTTGTAGTGAAGAATTGGAGGAGGCACATTTCAAATGAACTATTACTCCAGTCAATCACAATTATGAACAAACAATGAGGGGAATTAGACAGTTGTGAACACAGCAAAACTTCTGCTCAACTGTGGCTCATCTGACAAGCAAATTTAAGAGGTCCCCCACCAAGAAAAGCTTATTTCTCTCAACGTTTGTTTTTACAAACCCATAATTTCTCAAATTTTTAAAATAAGAAAAACAACAGTATGAAAGTCGGTTGTGTCAGGCTTACATGCAGGGCATTAATATTCATCGTAAATTTGTAAAATTCACAAACATCTTTTTAACTACATAAATTTGTGTTTGAATTTACCATTTTAAATTAGAATGGAGAGGAAAAACATCAGAAAGCCTCTCAAAGATAACGTATGTTATTTTTTTGGAGGGAAAAAAGCACTTTGTGCTAACCACAAACACATGACAAGCATGGAGAAAATCACAATCTGCCTGTATCAGCCCATGCACAGTGCATGGCACATGCTAAGCTACCATGCACAGACTGCCATGTGGACCTGCTGCCACGCACGCAGCATCCGGCGGCAGGCATTTGGATAATCACGGTGCACTTCATCCCTTGCTGGTCAAGTGCTCCCACACTCACAAGCTTAACCTTATTCTCTTTTTCTCTAAGGTACTTGTATTTCTGAACCAAATTGTTCAAAAATGATACCTAGTTTGATGTTGCTGTTCAGGAAAGCTTTCAAAAATGCCACTTGAGACAATGTCCTTTTTTACAGAGATTGAAACCCCGAGAAAACCATATTTGTTTTGTTTTCTGGAACGTCCTATGAATAGTTCCGGCAACTCAAACACTATCCATTCATGCAATAATTGATGGAGTAGTGTGGTCCCTGGGAATAGAAATCCACTTAGCAAATATTGTGTCAAGGGGGAGATATGGAACCACATTTTTGTACACAAAAAAGATCCATGCGCACAACGTGTTTGCCCATTTGGATTCCTACAATTAGCCGTACAATGGTAGGTCCAACGAAATGTGCTCTGGGAGCAAATGAATGGGTGTGGGTCAAGATGCTTGCATGTTGGTCATCATTGATAACAAAATTTGCATATTGGGCCGATGTGCACGTTAGTGCGCGGGGAGAACCCTGGATGTGTCTTAGTTTTACCAAATTTTAATTTTAATTTTGAAATGCTTGTTTTGAATACCTGCAGCTGGAAGATCGTAGGAAACAATTCCACGTCCTTATCAGCTCCATCCAGGAACTTCAGAGAATACTTGAGGGTGAGTTTGAAGAAAACTTTTTGTTATGCGTAGACATTATGGGGTCATCTGAGAATTGTGCTCAAGTCAAGCATGAAGTCAGATCATGTCAGATCATGAGCAACAGGGCATAAGAAATGATGAGGGAATACCAATGGCACTGCTCATTTCAAATAGCTTGCTACTCAACTTTAGATTGAATAACCTCTGACTGACATGCAATAACGTGTGATCGATTTGATTAAAACAGCAGTAATTGTGTTGAGGTGCTGTTTAACAGTTATAATGGCTTACACAACTCTTTGATGATTATAAGATGGCATTTGTTGATGTATCGTACCTGTTTGTATTTGGCAAATCCATGTTGCATGCTATATTACTTTCAAGTCAGTTGGCAGCCAGGAAATTAACTATACCTATCATATTACAACTTGGAGTGATAAAACAGGTGCATGATATCTTTTTGTGTAAAAGGTTAACGGGGATGTAAATTGAGCACAATCAGGATGTAACTGATATCACCAGAAACTTGAACACACTGTCATCATTGGATTAAACATTAACCCCCAAAATGCAGTGACCTTTTAGTGCCGTGGCTAATGGCAATTACGGTTGAGCATTCAAACATTTCTTGTTCACGGTGCTTGCGTAGGCATACAAAGGAAAGTAACTGGTATTGATTGATGTTTGTAAGCACAAGCTTGGGAAGTTGGGAATCGATGTCACAGAGTCTCCTAGAAAATTATGTGAAAATTTCTGACATCTTGCAAATGTTCGATGAATGAGTTGGTCCCGGGAAAGTCTGTAGACTCTCAAAATTCCTCAGGATTTCAGAACCAGTGTGTGAATTTTCTGAAATTATCAATCTCTCAAAAAATCCAGTTCCTTCCAAAAATTGGCCACATTACAAAAAACACATTTGTGGCATCAACCCCACAGTCTTAAAAAGTGTCCTGGCAGAGTTCTAAACATTTTAGATTTTCTGTGTTGGACCACAGAGGATGACAAGGGAAAGGAAGTGCACATGGAAACCACGTTGGACCGCTCCATGGATACCAGTATGGGTGACAAATGACAGCAAAACAAGGGCTAGGATTCTCTATCTTACGTATTGAAAGGACACCTCCGATTTGGAAAATGGGGTCATCCCACTCCGCCAGCCTGCGCAAAAATTTGGACGAGCGGGATTTTTGAAGGAATTTAACCGTGGAAAAGTACAATGATTGAAAGGTTTTTCATGGGCATAGCTGGATGGAAGCATTCTCAAAGCTTGTAGCTGTCAGCCGTAGCTGGATAAGGAGAGAAACCATGGACCCCTGAGACATCAGAGAACCTGGAGATGCAATTCCAGCCGTTCAACTTCCAGCGCTGACGCCAACTCTAAGAGCAGGACTGGATATCCAACAGGCACAGTGGACATTGTGCCCAGGGCCTACGAAGACTTCAAAGCTTATGAAACTAATTGAAGGCCTATGAAAATACCATTATTGTGCCATAAAGTACACATAGTTTTGAGAGACTGGCTCTTCTCTTTGAATTTCAAATTTCAGGAAAGGTTTGAACTGACCAGTATATAACTTTGTTCAGCATAGCATCAACATGAGATGCAAGGCCCCAATGCTTACTAGTACTATGGCATTGGTGTTGGTGCCTAGGAGTAATGCCTCTATAACACTGCTGCCCTGGGCCTGTACAGCTATTAATCTGGCCCTGACTAATACGTATCTAAGTGTACATGCACAATGTGCTGGCCATGGAATAACCAGCCAAGGGGGATCCAGAAACCAGTTTTGGGAGGCTAAACTTGGGGGTTTTTTGGGGGGGGGTTTCCTTCAGAAATCTTTCTTTTTTGTGTGTGTGACGTTTGTGGCCTTTTTGAGGCATTTTCCACTCTTTTTGAAGAAAAGGAGATAATTTAGACCAAAACCTTTTCCTCTCATTTTTCATTTTTTGGAGGGGGTCCCCTTGCACTCTTGTAACCAGCATTGATCCTTCATGTAGCCAACAACTGTTCACATTATTTGTTTATGTTTACTTTTTTTTTGCGTAAATCTTTTATGTTAAAAGTGGTGTTAACTTTGTAATGATACAATTGTGTATTAAACAGTGCATTTTATCATTTCATTGTCTCTGAAACAAATGTGAAAGTACTCAAAAATGGATGCAAAAGATCACGTTTTGTTGGCTTCACAATGGACAGATACAACAAAATTTTGTAAACAGTATTGAACATGTCAACGGACCCCATGTTGAAACTGTAGAAAATACTTCATGACTGTTTAGGACAGTTCTGGTGTGAAGGAGGCACCACATGAATGCACATGATATAAACACGGGGGGACAGACTTGTTCCTAGAATCCACACATGAACTGAGAGTAATGCCCTTCTTTTGGTCGTCTAACAAATTTATCCTCATGATGTTTTAGTTACATTGTAAATAAATTGCATACAGGTTGATGTATGTATCTGTCATAGAAGTGATCAATGCATTGCTTGAAAGTGGGTTTTCAGCTTTGCCTGCAATGATTTATCTCATTTGAGTAGCACATTCCTGAGGACAAACGTACATAACACATCTGTACATTGGAATGAAAGATATTCTGTTCAAAATGTACTCTTGAATCAGATTATATCGGTTCAAAACTCATCTGCGATGATATTGTTTGGAACATGTGTTTAATAACCGTTCTCCAAGAACCAGTCCCAATTGATCGATACATCACTTGACATCTTGTGTACTGACTCTTCCAAGTTGGTCATTACCGGGTAGTGCTTCCTCATCACAGGGATGCTGTCTCATGCTGTCAAGTTGCTTGTTCACGTTTTTACGCAGTCCACCTCCCCAGTGCCGTGTGCACAGCTTTGCAAATACCTACCGTCAGTTGGGGATTGAAGATCTTCGCAAGCGTGGAGAGTATCTTGGCAAGGAATATTGATGCTAGTGCTTGGCCACAGTAAAGGGATCCTTAAAACAGCGTCGCAAGCCAATTCGGCACCTGCTGACATACAACAGGTAGATTTGTACTGATTTATCAGTCACCGGAAACTCCATTGAACTCTAGCTTAATTACCTTGCAACACACTACATTCTCATATTGGTTTATCATAACATGTACAATATTCCATTCACACCAGTGATGTACATCTATCCAGTTTTTGAAGGGAGGACTGGCTTTTTATGATTGTCCTTTATTCCGTGACACACCCCCCCCGTGCTAGTACTGTTTCTAAAGTATTTGTCTCTTGCATCCACAGATCTAGAACGTAAATTACTTAAGGTGATCTCTTACGAGATTTTTCTGTTTTGTGGGAACATTATGCGAGGAATAATAAAATAGTTAAGTTAAACTTGCCACCCAAACCGCATGAACTAAGACTGACCAACGACCAATGGTTGAAGCGAGTGAGTTTCCAAGAAAACATTGCGAATAGATCATTTGTGCCTGTCAAAATATGACCCTTAACTTGTTTGCTTCTTAATGTTTGGTGAGTAAATTGCTTGTGGGGATGACATTAAGGCTCTCGGAATTTACTCGACGGTCACAGAAAAAGTGCCGACCCATAGCGAGAAACTTGCAGCTGTTAGCTGTGACATGGTGTATATAGTCTTTCTAACTGTGACCCATCGACATTTCATGATATCGACAAAATGACAACGCATTGCGCATACTCTGTTGCTTCTAAGAAGCCATGCGCGAATGACAACCCCTTCCACTTCTGAGGCCTGCCACAGTAAGTAGGCCAACGCATGGACAAAGAAATCTGTTTTATGCGAAGTAACCTCCTTTCTGGAGTTTCCCGTTTTATTTCGTCGGCCGGAGGATTGGTCGATCATTTGCAGTCCCAAATCGTCGGTCGTCAACAAGTATGTACTTTTCTGTGCAGCATCGATTCATCACGGATTAAAAAGGTATCGATCTCGTGTCATACCGCCCCGCTCTGCTCAGCACTCAGGACTGCGTCTCAGCGTTGATGACGTCTCAACGTTGATGAAGTCAAGGGGTAGTTTGGGATGGGATATAACTACCCACGGTGGTTGCTCGTGACAGGACCATTTATATCGAGTGCCATTAGAGCCTCACGGTACCGTACCTCGGCTTATTAGTACGTCTGGGATGAGAACTAACTGAATGCTATTATGTTTTCCCGGCCAAATTTTTAAACTTGACATCTGAATAAACGACTCCACTCGAGCAAAAATTTGTGCGTTTTTCATGTTATGTCAATCTTCCAATTCGTATTTGCGTCTGTTTGAACAATAGATATGTATGCAAATTATGTTGTGAGAGGAAACGTGTATTTAACAAGCAGAGATCACTTTTACGCTGATTGCTGTCGAAGGGAGAGCTTGTTCTGTCTTTTTTTTGCACAAACATCGAAGAACAAGCGATGGCAGCAGCTCGTGGGCGTTACATTTAACGTGGAATGTGGGGTGTGGGGCAAATAAAAGACGAGGAATACATTTGAGGAAACAGGTGATTATCAAGATACCCGCTGCTTCA